ATATTTACAGGTATTTCCGTATACGTATATTATTTAGTAACCCATTACCATACTGGAGGGCGGAAATATAGCGCTGATCGCTTTGAAATGTTCCATGAGGTTCATGTTATGGTCAAGGACAACGCCTATAATTTTCGGTGATGATTAGATAATAATTTTGGAATGAAGTGGACCGAAAACTTAATTTTTTGTGTTATTTTCGAGTCGATCTATAGACCACAAATGAAAGCCGAAGAAATCTGGAATCTGGACAATAGCTGTACTGAATGCTCGAAATATTCGGAAAATATGTCACTGTGAGGTGCTGTTTACCTCTAATCGGGCAAGAGGGGGAAAATATCACGAAATATTGCCCAGGCTCGGAATAAACATCCGCAAAAAATTTGAGTTCCGTGGTAGTTGTGTAGGGTATCGTATGGTCGGCCCGTCCGACCTTCTGAACGTATATTTTGTATAGAATCATTTTTCAAATACCATCATAGGGTAGATTTTGAATGTACTTGTTTTATTAAGATTTTTAAAATTAAATTAAAATTTTTCAGGGACAATACGAGCGATGATTTTTAAAGAAACATTTTTCAATGACTATCATAGAGTAGATTTTGTATAGAGATTTCTTTTTTTTTTTTTGCAACTACCATCAGAGCGTATATTTTTAATAAATATTTATATTGAAGCATTGAATTTGTCATTAGCGATTTTTTAACAGATTTGTCATGCATATTTTCTTCTTAAAATTCAAAACTCAATGCATTATTTTTCAAATTTTTATTTAAATTGAAACTTCCTAACTTCCACTATTGCCTTCCTATGTAATTTATATGTTTTCCCATAAACCACATGAAGTTCGTCTTCTATCACTTACATACCTGTATAATGTGGTTTTATATAGGCTCATACAATATGTACACATTCACTGGCGTCCTCTTTTAGAAAATGTGACCATTATTTAAAGACTGGTGTCCTATCCACAAAATCATGTTAGACATATTTATTTATATTCTGGTTACCAACACGCACACACACACACACACAAAGAAGAACATTTAGAAGATTTTCTAACTAGAAAACTATAAAAGAAACACGAACAGACATACCAAAAATTTCATGTAAGGATTCTAGTTTGTTTGGAAATGGGTCGTAATGCAAGCACACATACCGAATGTCTGAGGCAGACTAATTGTTGCAATTTCGAGATATACATATATTAAAGAGCTTACAAGTGTAACATGAACTTATGTATAGGATTTTGTTGTGTTGCAGGTTGTGTTTACGATTATATGTATGAGTATGTGCATGTGTAGGTAGTCTGTGTATCCCTGACAAATGAATAAAATATTTACAATAAAATATTGATAGATTTATGTAATTTATTAAAACTTCTATCACATGATGCTCTTTTGTGTGTTGTGGAATTTTATTTAATTAATTTCTGTTGGGAATTACTGGGATTTTCATAACACTCAAGACTTGATGAGACAATTACCGAAATCGATAAAAATGTGGAATATGGGTACAAATTACTCTATCAGCATAAGTAGGCAAGATCTCCGACTAGAGAATTAGGAATAGTGCTATCCGACAGATCAGCTTTTGTTATTTTTTTATAAATTAAAAAAATATGTATTTAATCCGGTATTGCCAATTTTTATCATTGTATAAATAAACACCCACATACTCCCAATTTCCCATCACTTTTGTACCCTCAAGATTGTCTGTTTACATTTTCAATGATTCAATTCTTCCAAAAATATATTTTGTCAGCCACTCATTGAATATTTTATATCCCCTAAATGACCTAACATAAACGACACACATACATTCATACACACATTCATGTTAAACGAACTGGAAATAATAATTGTAAATATTTTCCTTTTTCAGTTTTGTGATTTCCTTAAATCGAACAACATTTTTCATCAAAATCAAAATACCCTCAAGAAAGAATAACCGGCATACTCGTTCATACACACGAAGTAACGAAGCATAATATTTACAATGAAAATCAATAGAATTAAAGCAAAAAGAGAAATATTTGAAAATCTGTAGACTGAGATGTGGGTGGAGTCTGCTGAAGGATGCCCGCTTATAGAGGGAAATAAATGTAAGTATACATGAATACAATACAAATACATATTTTATCAAAGAGAATATTTAAAAAAAATTCGAGAATTAGCACAAGCCATAGGTTTTTTCTGAGTATTTCTTCAAAGATCTGCATAAGGCGTGGAATTGTTATTTTTCAAGAATCAGTACAAGGGATAGATTTTTTACAGAATATTTTTCAAAAAACATCGGAGTGTAGATTTTTTAGAATTTTTTTCATGGAACTTCAGATCTTTGATTTTTTTAAAGAATATTTTTTGAAGGACTAGCCGTACGTGGATTTTTTAACCAATATTTTTTCAAGGAAAATCAGAGGGTAGTGTTTTTAAGAAATATATTTTAAGGGTCATCAGAGCGTATATTTTTTAAATCATATTTTTCAAGGGCCATCAGAGTGTAGATTTTTTAAAGGAATATTTTTTCAAGGACCAATCGGAGTGTTAATTTTCCAAACTATATTTTTCAAGTACCATCAATGCGTGGATTTTTGAAAGAATATTTTTTCAATGACTATCAGAGATTAGTTTTTAAAAAAAAAAATATTTTTTAAGGGCCATCAAAGCGTATATTTTTTAAAGGAATATTTTGTCAATGACCATCGGAGTGTAGATTTTTTGAAGCAATATTTTTTCAATGAACATCGGAGTGTAGATTTTATAAAGGAATTTTTTTTCAAAGTCCATCAGAGCGTAGACTTTTTAAGAATATTTTTTCAAGAAGATCATAGCGTAGATTTTTTAATGGAATACTTTTTCAATGACCATTAGAGCGTAAATTTTTTACAGAATATTTTTTTAAAGTACCATCAGGGCGGATGGACCTTTAGAGCTTAATTTTTTAAAGAATATATTTTCAAGTACCATCAGGGAGTAGATTTTTATACCCCACATAACTATGTTTTCAGGGTTTTATAGCTTTGTGCAGCCCCAAGAGTTTGTAATGCCGCGAAATATGGGTCCTAGACCCACCTTTAAGTATACCGATCGTCATATCTCGACTAGCTGAGTCGATCTAGACATGTGTGTCCGTCTTTCAGTCTGTCCATTATAATATTAAAACACGATACAGATCACAATTATGGACCTATCATTACGCAATTTTGCATGGAGGATGGGTTCTGGCCAATAAAGACCCCTATTGTTTTTGGTAAAGATCGGTTAATATGTAGGGGATGAAATGGACCAACTACTACATTTTTGTCGGTTTTTCTGGTTGCTCCAGAGGCCGTAATTATGGCACGAACATCGCGAAATTTTCATGGAGAAGGCGATTGGGCCAAAGAATAACCATGCCGGTTTTGAAAAAGATCGGTCATTATTTAGCGGTACAAATGCATCTTGACTTTTGTGTGAAAAATTGCAAAACGTATATTCTATGGCGTATATATTCACTCCTGAAGGGCATAGACCCGAGAAGTCAACGTATATTCTATGGCGTATATATTCACTCCTGAAGGGCATAGACCCGAGAAGTTGATAGTATATCCAAGAGAACGTTTAAATTTATACCAATTATATTATTGTATGTACTCAGGTGTGGGAGTTACAGGTGCTTACGTATTGAGATATTATTTAGTAACCCATTACTACATTAGAAGTCGGAAATATAGCGCTGACCGCTTTGAAATTTTCCATGAGGTTCAGGTTATGGTCAAGAACAATGCCTATAATTTTCGGTGATGATCAGATTAAAATTTTAGGATGAAGTGGACCAATAACTTGACTTTTTGTGTTTTTCGGGTGTAGATCTCAATTGTAAGCACACAACCCACGGTGAAGGGAATCTGGACAAGTAATTAGAAGAGCTATACTGAATATTAGTAATATTCGGAAATATGTCAATGTAGGAAGAGGTCCTGTTTACCTCTAGTCGGGCAAGAGGGTCCAAATATAACGAACTATTTTCCAGGATCGGAATAAATAATCCGCCGAAAGTTTGAGTTCCATAGTAGTTGTGTAGGGTATCGTATGGTCGGCCCGTCCTACTATACTGCTCCGCTCACTGGTTTAAGAATATTTTTTCAAGTACCATCGGGAGGTAGATTTTTTGAAAAATATTTTGCTCTCTGAGAAAATCACGACAAAGCTCCCAGGATGTGGGATATATCGACATACGTTTTGATAAAGCTCGTGTAACGGTACAGCCTTAAGGCTTGTAAGTTACATTTTTCAACCGAAAGGGGTTGTAAGTTGATATTTCGTGTAGTATTTAGAAAGTTAAGCCTTTTGGGTTCTTGGAGGTTGACAAACACTCACCGTCCGTCTATCTGTCATGTATGATCATAACCAAAATGCAGGTCCCATTTTGGATTGAATTTAGGTAAAGCTCTTTTATTTGGTCCAAGGACGATCCATTAGACATGTAAAATTGCATAGATTGCAGAATGACACGAGCATATGCTTTTGTCCGATTTAATGTATATGGGTCTCCAAAGATCCTACATTTTGTTCTATCAACAGGATATTGTACACATAAAATCACAATCATTAGACATGAGTATTTATTACGATTGGTGTAAATCGGTATAGATATCGCTTGAGGACACGACAACGTGGTAATTGGTATAATAAAGCCGGTCAGCACCGAATTTTGTATTTTCCTTGCAGTTTTCGTGTTGCAGAAAAAATTTAATCCAACCTACCAGCTGGTAATGCACATATGTTGGACAGTATAAAAACTTTATCCTGCCTGAGCTTAAGGATTTTTTTCTTGTTATTTTAATAAGATATTTTTTGATGGACCATTTTAGCGTGAAATAATTAAAAATCATTTATTTGACAAATTGTTTATGTATATACTTTATATAATTACAAATTTTTAATTTCTTAAAACTAATATATTTCTTAAAATTATCTGATATATATGCTGAAGACATAAAAAGCCAAATTTCTAAATTAGGTATCCTCTGGAACTTCTTCACCCTTAATGTTCAAAGTATTTTTAGTTTTCAGTGTATCGACCATAGATTTTAAAATATTTGCCTCGACAAGGCCGATAAATTTATGAACAATTTCTCCATTACGAACTGTAAAGACAGTCGGCACCGATTGTATGTTGAAGGTATCCACAAGTTCGGTATTTTTCTCCACATCGATAATGGCCAAATCAATGTCTTCCGAATTATCCAAGAGGGCACATATTCTGGGTGTTAACTTCGTGCAAGGGTCACACCAATTGGCGTGGAAATCAACGACAACCGGATGATCACTTTGCATGACCTAGAAAAAGTAACGGAATTTTAAAAAATTATTTTGAAAATAATAGTTTTCTATTAATTACCTTTTGATTAAATTCTGTTTGATTTTTTATCGAATACGTTTTGTATGCACCATGATTTTGTGAAATACATTTTTGCAGCACTGTGGCTATGGAGGGTAGTAGTCTGTGGCAAACAACCTTTGAATTTGATGAAGATGCCATACAGGATTTCAAACAAGTAACCAGGCCTTCATTTGTTAATTTCAACATAATTTTCACACAATTTAAAATTGAATTCAAATACAACTTTAATTATTTTCACTTAAAGATTTGACAACACCGACGATCTCTAAACGACTTCTAAATGCTTTCGCTATGCAAACACAACTGTTTTGTGAGAAGTGCCTTGGCAGTCGAACAGTTAGCCATTTCGTTACCTGCATCAGGTAAATGAGAAATTTCACTGGAATTTTAGTAACAGGATTTATTTTTGGGTAATTTTGATGCATTACCAAGCGTTTCTGTTTATTACGGATCATAACATTTAGGATAACCAAAAATATCCCATAGATTTTTCCCTGATCGTGTTAGCACTAAATCTGCGTATGCACACAATGTACTGTTATTGTTGTTTATTGTAAAATGTGTTAGTATTTGTTTTTATGGCTGGATTTAAATAAAAATTCATTGTTAGAGTAACATTTTAACAAGTGTTCGCATTGTTATTATAATTAGTCCTGTTTTGTATATATAATAAATATGCGTAGCGCCATAATCCTTTTCAGAGACTTGTAGAGGACATCTGGAAATTCTAATAATTTGTATTTCAACAAAAAGTAATTTGCAAACATATTTTCAACCAATAACAAATATATGAACTGGATGCCGAAATATTTTTTCCTACATCACTTCTGGGAGCATGCGGCATAGATTCATCCAATATTAAACCTTTTTTAAAGACTCACCACAAGTCCGAATATTATGTTTCAGACACTAAGATAATGCGGATCAGAAAATTGGACGGGACTTTTACATCGCAACAAGCGGAGTCATATCCACGATTTTCTACAAAGATAACTTTCATCCTCCAAGAACCCAAAATACCAAATTCCAGAGACCTTGGTAGAAAAATGGAACTACCAAAAATTACGGGAAGCTATTTTGCGAGGATTTTGCCAAAACACCGACCTATGTAGACATTTTCTTATTTGCTCTCCAATTATACAAAAAATATAGTTACAGCATTAAAAAGAAAAAAAACATCTTATAAAAAAAAAATCAATCTAGTAAATTTTTAGAAATGACCTTCTAACAAATAATTGGGAAGACACCGTTATACATTTTAAGGTTTCAAAAGTAAACGAAAATAAAACCAGTGAGCGGAGCAGTATAGTCGGACGGGCCGACCATACGCTACCCTACACAACTACCACGGAATTCTAACTTTCTGCGGAAGTTTACTCCGACGTTTACTCGTGATATTGCATCCTCTTGCCCGATTACAGGTCAACAGAACCTTTTCCTTGTATTTTCGAATTTTCAGTAAAGCCCTTCTAATTACTTGTCCAGATTCCCTTCACGGTGGGTTGTGTTGTGATGTTCGGCTTTTAATTTTGGCATATAGATCGACTCGAAAACACACACAAAAAATTAATTTTTGGTCCACTTCATCTCAATATTGTTATCTGATCATCACCGAAAATTATAGGCGTTGTCCTAGACCATACCTGGATCCTCATGGAAAATTTCAAAGTCATCAGTGCTTTATTTCCTCCTTTTGGTGTGGTAATGGTTTACTAAATAATATATGAATACGTAAGCACCTGTAAATATTTAAAAGTAACTCCCACACCCGAGTATATACGACAATAAAATAGGTATCAAGTTAAGTGTCAACCACCCCTCTTGGATATACTATCAACTTCTTGGGTCTATGTCATTCAGGGGTAAATCTATACGCTATAGAACACAAATTTTGTACTTTTTCACACAAAAGTCAGGGTCCATTTGACCGCCTAAATATTGAACGATCTTTATCAAAACAGGCATGCTTATTCTTTGGCCCGATCCCCTTCTCCATGCAAAATTTTACGATGTTCGGGCCATTATTGCGGCGTCTGGAGCGACCAGAAAAACCGACAAAAATTAAGTATTTGGTCCATTTCATCCCCTAAATATTAACGGATATTTACCAAAAACAATAGGGGTCTTCATTGGCCAGAACCCATCCTACATGCAAAATTTCGTGAAGATTGGTCCATAACTGTGGCCTGTATCGTGTTTACAAATTATAATGGACAGACGGACGGACGGACACACATGTCTAGATCGACTCAGCTAGTCGAGATATGACGATCGGTATACTTAAAGGTGGGTCTATGACCAATATTTCGCGGTGTTACAAACTCTTGGGGCTGCACAAAGCTATAATACCCTGACAACATAGTCGTGTAGGGTATAACAAATATAATTTTTTTTATTATGTACAGTGTCTGCCAAAACTTAAGCATCCCTTCAAATGTAAAAAATTCAATTCAAAGCAAAATTTTTTGAAAATTCAGATGTCGGAAATGCTAGCGGATTAAACTAAAGCACCCCCCAAACCTCCAATTTGAAGTGATGTTAATTAAAAGTACAATCTAAAATGATTCCACTACATCCTGTAATCAAACTCGAACCCGCCTTCATTTTAAAATTAGCGAAACAACGATCCGCAGAAAAGTTGTAGAGGGCCTTTTTCTCAAAATTATTTTTTTCAAAAAATATAAAAGCCAGACTCCATATCAAATAGAGTGACACAGAATGGAGGATTGTACTGTTTTCTGACATAGATGCAATGTATTTGCAATATATCTAAGGTAATCGACAACTATTTTGAATAAATTACACTGTGACACAAAATCTAGCTCATGTTCCCAAAGGGTAGAAAATTCCTTATGTGGATGAAAACCATTGGCGAATATATTAATAATCCAGAATGAAAAAAATTGTGAGTTATTATATTTTTGTTGGTAACTCTATAGCTCATGAACAAAATCCTTTACATCTTTGATCCTTACTCAGTAAACTTTATTTCAGGATGCTGACCAATTTAGTTTTCCATTGTAATGCCCTTTACCACACTGTGGTATTACATATTTGTGCATATGTTTGTAACAGGCAAAAGGAAACGAGATAGACACAGGGTTCTTTATGAGAATATACATAGAATCACTTTCATCTTTCAAATTTTGCACAGCGTAGTGAATTAGGTCCAGTTTTATGTCTGTAAAGTTTCGTTGAAATCGGTTCAGATTTAAATATAGCTCCCATATATATTTTCGTCCGATTTGATGTAAATGGTGCTTCAATGTCCCTATATATCTTTCGATTTGCACCAAATTTGGCACAGCATTGTAAATTAAGTCTGCAATGACGTGAATTAAGTTTCGTGAAAATCGGTTCAGATTTAGAAATAACTTCCATATATATTTTCGTCCGATTTAAGTTAACCGGTGGTCCAAATTTCCTTTTTATCTTTTGATTTGCACAAAATTTGGTATAGTGTACTGAATGAAGTCTAGAATTATGTGTATTAAGTTTCATGAAAATTGGTTCGGATTTAGAAATAGCTCCCATATATATTTTCTACCGATTTAATGTAAATGCTGTACCAAATTCCCGGTATATCTTTCGATTTGCACAAAATTTATCATAGCGTACTCATATAGGTCTAGAATGACGTGTGATAAGTTTCCCAGCTAAGAAATTTCTTAAGACCTATAGGCGCGGATTTTCTAAAGCAATTTCTTAAGACCAATTGGCGTGGATTTTATAAAGAAATTTCTTAAGACCAATTCGAAGATGGGGATGGTACACTCCTTCTGATACTTCCCCCTCAAAATGGTCAAAATTGCGCAAAAAATTAATTTTATAATTTTATATTATCCTAGAAAGATGGGACCTATTGATCTACTCCTTCTGGTACCCCCTCAAAGTGTCAAAATGTTCAATATTTATTATTCCAATATCAGGAGAATGCAATGTCCGATGTGAACCGAACTTTGCACAATCTATTATCATTACCAATCCTATTTAAGGTTTGAAGATGGGACTCATTGGTCCACTCCTTCTGGTACCTCCCCCACAAAGAGTCAAAGGGGTTTCAATATTTATAAATCCAATATCAGGCGAATGGAATGTTCGATGTGACCCAACCGTTTCACAACCTATTATCTTTACTAAGCCTATATCAAGTTTGAATATGGGACCCATTAGTCCACTCCTTCTGGTACCTCCTCCAAAAAGGGTCAATATTATAAGATATTGTAAATTTTATTTGAATAGCCGAATGGATCAACATTAAATCTGAAACATCTTTGATAAAAACATATACCTTATATAAAACGAATAACAAAACCTGTGTATAACTCCGAAGACCTTCTCCGCAAATCATAGTGTGTGGGTATATATCTGTCGGCAGCGCCACTTGACACTTTTTTACTTGTTCAGAAAAATGTCAGTGTATGTCCATGTTTTTATACCCTTCACCACCACACTGTGGTACAGGGTATTATGTCTTTGTGCATATGTTTGTAACAGGCAAAAATAATCGAGATAGCCCCATGGTTCCTTTTGAGAATATGCATAGAATCACTTTCTGAGTCGATTTATGCATGTCCGTCCGTCTGTCCGTCTGTCTGTCCATGTTAAATTGTAAACAAAGTACAGGTCGCATTTATGATCCGAATTGGATGAAATTTGGCATAAGTAACTTATTTGGCCCAAGGATGAACCCTATTCAAATTGGGAAAAATCGGTTCAGATTTAGATATAGCTCCCATATATATATTTAACCGATTTAATGTAGACGGTCCCTATATATCTTTCGATTTGCACGAAATTTGGTACAGCCTAATCATTTAGGTCTATAATGATGTCTGCCAAGTTTCGTGAAAATCGGTCCTGATTTAGATATAGCTCCCATATATACTTTCGTCCGATTTCATGTAAATGGTGCACCAAAGTCGCTATATATCTTTCGATTTGCACGAAATTTGGCATAACGTACTGAATTGAGCCTAGAGTGATGTCTGCCTTGTTTCATGAAAATCGGTCCAGATTTAGATATATCTAACTTTTATTATATATTGATTTAAAGTAATTAATGCACCAAGGAACCAATAGGCTGATAGGAACAAAACGTACTGAAATTAGTATAACCTAACCTGAGACAACTTTCG